TTATGCTCATTAATATTTACAACAGATCAAATTTCCAGAATTTCACTGTACCAAGCAGTCATATTTCTGGAGCTAAAATCATGAACTCACTGTAAAAACTCAGCAGGGGCTCTGACTGGCATTAAACATTTACCCACAAATGACTCATACAGCCTTCAGCTGAATTCGAATTTCGGCCCTCTGTATAACCAGGGTTGTAAATCAACAGGACTTTTTTTAAAAGGTCAAATATCAACTTAAATGTACTCTGCTTTCCCAGTTATCAGGGTCTAGGGAATATTCGGTTTAGTGTAATATAGCAATTAGAGATGGGGGTAAGAGAACGACTCTCCCCTCATGACTGCTGAGTGGCCGGACAAGCAGGAAGAAAGTGCCACTCCGGGCACCATCAGAAGGATGAGCAGGACCCAGCACTGCTGCAGAAAGCGTGAGTGGACAGGCCCAACACTCATTAGGTCCAGCTGCACAGGGATATTTGTATTTGTAAACAAATATGAATATCTAATCTCTAATAGCAATCACTATTTAAATAGTATTAAAACATATAGAGATAGCAGTACAGTGGTGCCTTGCACAGCGAGGTTAATCCGTTCCAGATTAACCCTCGCTGTGTGAAACATCGCTGTACGGAAAGAAAATGGCGAAAACGCTGCGCGCGGCCATTTTGGGGCTTCCGGCGGCCATTTTGTAGCCGCGGAACAGCTGATCGGCGGGTCGCAAAGCGAAGGTCGGTAAGCGAACCACTTACCGACCTTCGCTCTGCGATTTTCGCCCATTGGGGCCGTCGCTCTACAACTGCATTAGCGATCGCAAAAACGTCCCCGTAGAGCGAATTCATTGCTCTACGGGGCGCTTGTGCGAGGCACCACTGTATAAGAATGATCTCTAGTACACATGTAAAAAGTCACAACGAAACTAAATATTTTAAGCATAGTACCCACACTGTACAGTCTGTAAATGACCAGAAAATTCATTGGGTCATATATTCAAATTATTCATTTCAACTAAGTCCCAATGATTTCAGGAGAAAGTAATCACAACCAAATATGAGGTACTCATACAACTGGATAACTGGAAGCTGCCTTATATGTCACTACATATTATACAGTGGTGTCTCGCTTAATTGTCCTGCATTATGACGAATCCGCTTTACAACGATCTTTTTGCAATCGCAATTGCAATCGCAAAACAATGGTCTAAATGGGGGAATTTCGCTTAGATTATAGTGGGGGTCCCTCAGCCTAGTACCGGGCTGTGGCCTTGGCAAGACCGAGCCACGGAGACAGATCTCCTCCCCCTGCACGTATGGCCCACCCCCCCCACAGGTGACCCCCATGCATGCATGCAAGCTCGCCTCGCTCCACCCTCCGCTAATGCAGGGGGTGCTCGCCCCTGCCTGCACACAGGCCCCATCCCCCAAACCGGTCTGCAGCTTGGAAAAGGTTGGGAACCACTGGATTATAGCAAAGACTATTACTGTACAATAGCGAACAATACACATAGCATGGTCTTTTGCTCCCTCTAGTTGCCAGTTCTGGTAACGACACCAGAGAAATATATTTCTCTCGCAAATGCTATACATCAGTGGTTGCCAACCTTTTCCAAACTGCGGACCAGCTGAAGGAGGCGGGGTCCCTGCATGGGGCACACACACGCACAGGCATGCTATGTGTGCATGTGGGCATGCATGGGGGGAGTGCATGCGGGGACCCAGAGATCTGTCTCCGCGGCCCAGTCCTGCCAAGGCCACAGCCCAATACTAGAGTACATAACATGGTCTCTTGCTCCCTCTTGTGGCCAGTTCGGGTATCTTTATTGTTAGAATTATATATTAGGCATGGGAGCTTCGTATTCGTATCCCCAGGGTTATGAATACAAAGCATGGCACCACAGATGCAGCCGAGGTCCATTGCCTCCCCTCAAAATCAGCCACTTACCAGACTTTGCATGGTGCAAGTGTCCATAGTTGATAACCTTGTGCCAATTGTGCCAGTAGCCCAGCTGGTCTTCCCCACCTCCCTGCACCGCTGACCACTCCAGTGAGGAGGCGGGATGACAAGTCTCCCCACTCAGCTGCCAAGTGGTCACAAGCACAGCAAGGCAGGGAAGCGACAGCCAGGCGACATCTGTGAATTGAGTGATATTATTAACAACGAATATGCACACCAGGAAAAGCCCAGCCCAGGATCCAACGGGCCCAACCACCCGTAGCGGCGATATTTGCATCTGTCTTCCTTGAGAGACTAACATCAATATCCCCTCTCTAATACGGGATTTTTCTTTTAATATTTTTCAGACTGTGGATAAGTGATTCAACAGATATTGGGGTCCGACAGTACAGTGGAGCCTCGCATAACGAGCGCACCGTTTGACGAATCCACATAGCGATCTATTTTTTGAGATCGCTAATGCGATTGAATTATGATGTTTAGATAGGGAAAAGATAGCATTGCGATGATCGGTAAGCGTTTCGCTTAATAATCACATTGCGATGTTTTTAGAACAGCTGATTGGCGGTTCCAAAATGGCCGCCGGGTGCCCAAAGTGGCCGCCGCAAGCATTTTCGCGCGGTTTCCTCGCTTACCGAGGCGGCGAAAATGGCGGCGCTATGGAGGATCTTCGCTGAACGGTGAGTTTGGGCCCCATAGGAACGCATTAAACTTCGTTTAATGCGTTCCTATGGGGTTTTTAGTTCTGTTTAGCGATGTTTCCGAATAGCAATGATTAATCCGGAATGGATTAACGTCGCTATGCGGGGCACCACTGTACATTGATCTACTTGAACAACAACTCCATGAGGTAGGTCAGGCTGACAGAGAGCAACTCAGCCAACACTTCTCAGAGGGTTTCGCAGCTCAGTGGAGATATGAGTCTGGATTTCGCAAATAAAATAAATAAATATATAATAAAATATAAATAATTTAATATTTCATAATTAATTAATTCAAACACCAGTCTAGCACTCTAACCATCCATCTGGGTGGATTTTTAAAAAATAGTCATATTGATTTAAATCCAGATTTAAATTGTGGTTTAAATCAATTTGATTTAAATCAGGTCCACCCTGCCATTAACCTGCACTGGCTCTGTCCTTAATTACATGCACATATTTTCCAGCCTTAGCAGGATTCCTTCGATCAATTCCCTTTCTTATACTGAAATGCACTTATGCTTTCTCTTCAATAAGCAATTATCTCCTATATTCATTGCCAGATATACTGGCTGATGAAAGGATCATTTCCCATTATCTGTGACCGAATGCAACAATATAAGGCAATCATATACACATAAATGGCATTACTTCTTCCCAGAGGAGATGACTAGCTTTTCTTAGGCAATACGGCCTTAAGGTCATTTCTTATGAAACATTCAGTATGAGGTTCCAACACTAGAACTGACACACATCATCAATTGCATACTGGATTTGTTGACATAGAGCAAAATTAAAACTACACCTGGGGAAAAAAGTCATAACACACCAAGGTATGAAAGGCACACTGCACATTTTTCTTTTCAAACACATCTAAAGAGGGGGACTCAGTCTTTCCCCCATTCACTGTTTACATGTGCTGTGAAAACCAAGAATTAAATTGCAGGCCCATGCATACATGTAATAGTTATATTTAAAGACAAATACGGCCTCAAACACTGTAGACTTCACATTGCAACTGTTCCTTAATATCCCAATCTACACAAACAGGATTTCTTGTGTGTGCACACTTTGTTGATGCAGGAAGTTCTGAAGAGCTTACTCCAGTGTTAGGAGAAGTACAGTTGTGCCCCGCTGGACGATTACCCTGCTTTACGACGAATCCGCTTAACGTTGAAGTTTTGCAACTGCTTTTGCGATCGCTTTGCGATGTTTAGACGGGGTTGTTTCGCTTAGCAATGATCAGCAAACAGCCGGGTTTCAAAATGGCCACCGGCTGAAGAAAACGGCTCCCCACTGTGTTAGGGACAGATTCCTCGCATTACAGGCACCAAAAAATGGCAACCATATGGAGGATCTTCGCTGGACGAGCAGGTATTCAGCCCATTGGAACGCACTGAACGGTTTTCAATTCGTTTCAATGGGGTTTTTTTTATTTTGTTTGACGACGATTTCGCTCTACAGCAATTTCGCTGGAATGAATTAACGTCGTCAAGCGAGGCACCACTGTACTAACACCATCTGGAGATGTTCCTTAACATGTTCCTGAATAGTCCTTGTTAGCATACTTCAAAACAAATGTAACAAGGCACTCAGACTTAGCTTTTTTCCCCTGACAGCAAGTGATATTACATTTCGAGACGCAAGCTTCTTAAAGGTTCTGAAGGAGAACTCCAGATTTAATTTAAAATATTCCTCTCTCCTAATAGGTAATTTTGCAAAGCTGTGATCATATGAAGACTACAAGGCTCTTAGTCTACATTCACAAAACGCTGAAATCCTCACTGCCTTAAATTGCTTGCCTTGAACAAAATACAGAATACAAACATTACAGAATGTTTAAAGTGCAAGTTTTCTGCCAAGTATTCCTCTGTGTCCATCTATTTCACGACTGTGATAATCACATAAGACAATACACAGGAAGAACGACAATAATGCTAGGGGAAAATAATGCTAGGAAAAGTTGAAAGTAGCAGAAAAGAGGCAAAACAGAACAGGAGACGGGCTGATTCTATAAAAGAAGCCACCGCTTTTCATTTGCAAGACCTTCTGAAAAATCACTAATTTATAGGGTTGGCTTAAGTTGGAAACCACTTGCTGGCACCTAGCAACAATGACAAGCCATCTGAGTCTCCATTTTTTTTTAAATCCAAAGGAGTGAGGAAGCAGAGTTTCAATAAAGCTCTATTTCCACTACCATCCATGTGCTTCTTGTCTTCATTTAAAAAATGAAAGCATCTGAAAATTGTGATTTCTGGGACTAATGCAACCTGCAGTGGTAGGTGTGGGGGCAGAAAAGGTCTCTGACCCCTGATGTCGTGCACCTCCTCCCTGATTTTATTTTATTTACCTCTCTTCTACTCGTTTCTTGTCCATCAGGGGCTGTTTAATCCACTGGTTCACCAGCCTCTGTCCCTGTGCCGTTTTACACTTGTTGAGCAATCCAGCCAAAGAATGCGTCCCTTGGGCAACGTCTGATGAACCCTGAAAGGGGGGGAAATACATATGTATAAAATGTGGCAGAAAATCACAAAAGCCCAGGATTTCTTGTGTTGCACTAACTCCCTTCTCACCTGTCTAGAAGAAAAGATGAAAGCAGGGGGGAGAAAGGGGGGGGGAGAGATAGGCATTTTGCACTTTAATCCTGCCTCTGATTTCATTTATTTCCATATAACACCCTAGAACTCTTGGGCAGGCAGCCTGGAAATTCAGCTTACCTTTCCAGCAGCAAAATAAAAACACAGAAGCCGGATGGAGAAACAAGTACGGAAGGGAGGGAGGACAAACCAGAGGGTAGAATATTTCCCCTCCGTGTATGTCTCCATAAGCACACTACATCCCGCGAAAAATGAGGAGCCGGAAGCCAAACTGTGAAGCAAAATCAGAGAGCAGCCTTTTCTCAAAAACGAATAAAGACACTTATTGCTTTGAAATAAAGTACAGGGCTCTGCAGGGGTAAATCTCAAGATCAATACTACTAGAAAGCATCCCTGCTAGCTTCATAACGTGACTTATATACAATCAGCCTTTCCTCATCTTAAAGGAAATACGGACCTATCAGGTGGATAAAACTTCTATTTTCCAAACACAATCGTCTTCTAAAAGCCTGCGTGATCTTGCAACGCAGCACAATGCTTATTTTAACAGTGCTCTAAAGGTTTCTACAAGAGCTAACGTGGTGTAGGGTGTAAAGGGTCGGACCAGGACTCAAGCCTTGGGTTCAAATCCTGGTTGGGCTACGGAGGCTCCCAGAATGGACGGCAGGGGTACACCACTCCTCCAAACTTCTTGCCCAGTGCAAAACCCCACTAGGTAGCCACACGTTGGAAGTAAGCTCATGATGCTTAACAACAGAAGGTGCCTGAATTTGTCTGTTTTACCAAATCGAACCCCCTTAATTTGCATATACTGTATCGATCACTAAAAGCTAAGGCTGCAGCGGCGCAACCCAGTAGCCTTTAGATATTGTTAGGTTACAATACTTTTAATTCCTGCCAACTGTCCAAGCTGAGTGAAAGCTTAACCCAACATCATCTGATGGGCACCAGGTTTTCCATCTCGGTGCACTAATAATTTGTCCATGACTTTGCCCAACATTGCTCCATCATCAATTTTTGCACAGTGCTGGCTACCTACAGCGTCCAAACTATTTCATTCTCTTGAAAAATCTCCTTTGTAACAAAGACATTGTGCGGCCAATCTCACTGGGCTGGAGGATGACTCTGGTTTTATTAGAGAGAAAGAGCCCTTTGGAATAAATAAAGGAAAACAGCAGCAACTAGCCAGAAGCCAAATGGAACTACAGTAGTAACTCTGCGATGTCCTCCAAAGTGCAATTATTGGGGTGGTCTTTTAGAACACAACACAAAGCTATCCCAGTCCCCCAAAGCCCCCTTTCCCCCAAATATTTGCAGGGAAACCATTAGCATAGCCCTGATTTCAATATTTCTCCCTATTTAAAAGTCTGTTTTAAAACAAATAAAAACAAACAATGGTACAGGGAAAGCTGCAGGCTAAAAGGGCTCTCTCTAGATTCATTGCCACATTTATGAAGAACAGCTGGCAATGCCTCTAAGGTGCCCACAGTGATGCACATGTATGTATGCCACCTAAAAACAGGTTTTTCCCCCTTCAAAACACTGTGATTCACAAGGAGAGTTTTGCATATGCACGTATAAGCAGATTTCACAATTAATATTTTTATAATTCACCGACTTTGATTTATTTAACCAGTGAACGCACAAGCCAAAATGTGATCTCATTCCACGAATTCTCAAGCACAAGTCTACATTTGCCTCAGATATGCTTCTAAGAATATAATTTTAAAATACAATATTTTAAATAAATGTGAAGAAGAGAACCAAATTCAATCTCTTAGGCATATCTGAGAAACTATCTGCAATTCTGAGGACTAGAATCTTGGAGTCTGTTTTTTTTTCCCCCTTCAGGATTGTTCAGGATTTATCAGAGAGAATGATGTTTCAGCATGATTCAGGTAGTACAGTATCACTTGTGCTCATATATTTAATACAACTCAAAATAAAATTGCATATTCCGTTCTTTCTGGAGTTGTTGAAATCATGCTAACAATAAGAATACAGACTGGACCCCTTTCTTTTGTAACAAGAATAAAAACTGGATTCTGTGCATTTGAGTCCTGTGTTCCTGAGCAAGACAGATATCAGCTCTGACATGCAACAGGAGGCTTATTTATAAAAGCTTAACACATACACGTGCTTCTGCGTAATATACCCTCACCTTTGGTGCTCATAAACAAATTAAGCACACCAGACATGACTAGACTAGGCTGTAAACAGGACAAATAAAAATGCATTCCCATGGTGGTCAATCCCACCCCGATGCCCTCTCAAAAATACTGCCTGACAATATCATGGAACATAGGTGAAATTTACTATTAAAAACATATGAGACTGCAGCATCAGAATAAAAGGGCCACTGACTCAATCCGTTTCTCAGAAAGACTGGCCATTCTAACTTTCAATTAGCAAAACCAGAACTATCATTAGTTCTTACTCTTGTTAGTAATTATTAATTAATTATTAATTAACTAATTAATTATTATAATAATAATAATTAATCCTCAGCTAGGATCTGGGGGTCTTCTTACAGGTGGCAGTCTCTTTATGAGTTCACTAACACAGTGGAGGGTCCGTCAACACCACCCTTCCCCTCCACCCATGTTTAGAAGACAAATAAAAAAGCCTGTTTTTCAACAAGGCTTTTGAGAGCCTTCTCCCCATTTCATTTAATTGTTCAACGACATGGTTTATTGAACTTGTATTATTGTCGTTGCTATTTTGGGTGTTTGTATGCATAGTTGTTGTAGAGGGTTAGGTTGTTGTAGAGGGTTAGGGTGAGTTTGTCTTTTTTTCCCATTGTCTTGTGTTATTTTGTGTTCATTTTCTGTTGTAAGCCACCTAGAGTAGCAGCTTGCCACTAGATGGGCGGAGTAGAAATTTAGTAAATGACCGAATAGGAAGGAGGTGGATGAAGACAAATCTTTAGCATTGCACACTGATTGAGCTAGGAAACCAAGAGAGCAGTACTACTCCTAATTCGACTTAAAAGCCTCTGGATGCAACACGTAATAGGTGCACACATGCTCAGAGCAGGAGGACTGACCTGGGAAACAGAATAAAAATGAAAAATGTAAAAATAAAAAGGCAAAAACATGGGACTTACCTGGAAAAGGTTAAGAGCTCTGGAAGCAGCATGATCCAGTGTCATGTACTGATGGAGTTCAAAGGTGGAGAGTTCAAAATCCCCAAAGTTAGATTCATCATTTAAGAGCTCTAAATACTTAATCACTGCAGACAAGGCAGAAATGGCAATCTAGAAGGAAGGGGAAGAAAAATAAAACCCGGATACAATATTCTGGATGACTGACATTGGCGTACCGCTGAAACTAGTGTTGGATGTTCTTCATCCTATGCAAGGTTTATGTTTGGCCAGCACTATTTCTAAACAATTACTAGAATAACTAATCCACTCACAACATTTCTTAACTTCCCAAAATATGGGTTAAGCTACAGGTAAGGAATACAGTACATGAACCAGAGAGGTTGTTATCTAATCTAATCTAATCATCTATCCATCCGTCCATTTAATTTATATTTAAGTTATTATTTTCATCTTGTCTATCTGTAAAGCTTTGTAAGGCACATTGATCCTATTATATAGGTGGGGATAAAACGGAGAACAGTTTGTTTGAAGTTATTCAACAAGGGTTGATCAAAAATGTTATTTTGCTAACAGAGATCAAGTCTCATATAGAAAAAAACACATCATACGTGAGACTTGTGTTTCTGTCTCAGCACAAGTACACATGATTGAAAGTTCCTAAGCATAAGAAAAAAGCAAACACTATTTGAAATTATTATCAACATCAAAAGGAAATTACTACAGGTGATGTATTTGACAATTCCATGCTGGTCCCTGCTAATATTCTAATTCTAAGAATAACTACTGTATTTCCCTAATAATATTTGGCTCAGACACATCCCTTTCACAGCCTTATGCTAAGGGTTCCCCCTGCTGGATATCATGGAATATAATAAACAGCAAGTGAGCGGGAGGCAGCCAGGAAACGAACTGCAAAATGCTAGGAACTGAGCTATAATTCATCAATTGGACTTAACTGATTTAAGCATTTCAATTGATTTAAGCATTTTCTTGATTAAACACATGCCATTGATCAGGCTGGTTCTAATACATGTCATATACAGTGGTGCCCCGCATAGCGATGATAATCCGTTCCGAAAAAATCGTCGCTATCCGGATTCGTCGCTATGCGGGGGGAAAAAACCCATAGGAACACATTAAAACACGTTTAATGCATTTCTATGGGTGGAACTCACCGCTATGCGGAAATCCTCCATCCGGCTGCCATTTTCGCTGCCCGGTAAGCGAGGAAAGGGCGCGAAAACACAGCGCGCGGCCATTTTGTTTACCCGGCGGCCATTTTGGAGCCGCCAATCAGCTGTTTTTAAAACATCGTTATGCGATAATCGGTAAGCAAAACACTTACCAATCATCGCAAAGCGATGTTTACCCATTGAAAACATCGTCATGCGATCGCTTTTGTGATCACAAAAAACTCATCGCTATGCGGATTTGTCGTTAAACGGTGCGCTCGTTAAGTGAGGCACCACTGTATTAATATTAATATTTTATATTTTAATATTAACCTAAAACTGGTAAGCATGTTTTAAAGATGCATTCCTATTCTCTCTGCCACTTAGCAAAGAACGCCTCTTCTATAATGTTGCCTGCTGGTAGATCATATACATGCATTTTCTAAAATCGAAGAAAGCATGCTTCTTGCATCAGAACTGTTGATTTTACCCATTTAATAAGTAACTGGTTATTTAATGAAGACTCCTTTTGTCTAGTTACATCTCTAGGAATTAACCAATGCACCTTCATACTATGGTCTGGCTCACTACAACACTCCAGTTCACCAAGAAAAGTATCACCAGCACAACATGAACATGATGTCCAACATGAAATGGGCATATTAGATGCCCATATACACCACCCTTGAGAAATACATTTTTACCCGAAGGCAGTTCAGGATCTAGACGCTGGTGATCTGCAGTAGATCAGCGAGGGTTCCAATTCCCAACTGTCTAACAATTGCAAGTAGAATTGGAAGACAACAAAATTAAATAATGGTAGACCAAGGCGGGTTTGTGCTACCTGCTTATACATCAGTGTAACTTACTCATCACACAAAACTGCCTCTCCCCGGGTCTTTTGCAATTCTGCTGGGAAATGTTAAAGAGAGTGTTAAACCATGTTCTGCTATAACTCAGAAGGGTGTTTTGTACTTTGATACGTGGGTCATCCTACTCATTATTTAGCACATTACAGTTAACTGGCTCCTTTTCCTGAAACATCATTTCCTGTTACCTGTTTCAAAAAGACAGCCTATGCTTTATCTGAAAGGTCTTTTAAGTGCTTCTTAGGGCATTTCGGCTCAGCACTTAAACCATGCTTGTTTGGCATGCAGAAGGTTTAGGTTTCAACCACTTACTCCTCCCACCGCCCTCCCAAAAAAAACCTTATTAGGTGATGGGAGAGTCCTGACCTTGGGATTTCAAAGAGCTTACAGGGGTGAGGGTAGACAACACTGGCCTAGAAGTCTGAGAGTTCTTTTCCTCCTTTTAGCAACCCTATAACGCCAGGACAGCACCTCAGTTGCCTATGAGCAGTTTTCTTAATCTATCTTATGTCAGTAGATGTTCCCCTAGAAACTGCTCAAATTTATGGAGGAACTTCAAAATGTTAGTGATCTCAAAACTTCCATGAATTTCTCTGCAACATCAACTCTCTATTCGTTATTACCACGTCACATTCTCGGGCACATTTCCATTTAAGATAGAGAGATTTTAAATTTTGGCTGGATCTCTTCATGCATAAAATGTCTAGAGGTCCTGATATCATTAAATGGTCAAACTACATTCTCAACATTATTCTAATGTGTTGTAGTGAGCCAACAGAGACAAGTGGATTGATATGATGTAATAACAGAAAAGAGGACTCAAATAGTTTAGGCATTTATCTCTCATTCATCCCCCACAAAATGTTCCTAAATTCAAGCTACAAAACTATGATGACCAGACAGAAACTTTACTGGAGCCAAGGGCTACCAGGCTAAGATGGCACACACCATTCCATGTATTTATAGAACTCCATCTCCCAGATCAATGACCCACCTGTTTGTCCATTTGGGGCAAAGCTGCACTAGACACACGCTCTTTCCTTCTTGATTTCAGCAAGCGGTTCAGGTCTTGAACAATATCTTTTGTCGAAAAGTCACCCTTTTTCTTCTCTGTGATCAGAATTCCTCCTCTTTGAAGGACCTGCACATGTAAAATCACAAGTGGAAACATCTCTGCAGTTACAGCCTCTCTTAGCTCTAAATGCAGGGCCGTGCAAACTTGGCGCCTTTGAAATATTTTTGGATTACCGTTCCAGGGATTATTTGAAGTGTTGCCTAAAATGGATAAAGAGTCCTGGAATACAGAGTATGTCTCCTGAGGTCTCTACCATTTCCTTTCTTTGTTGCAAGCTGGGGCTCAGCAAAGATCAGAAGAATATATAGAATGGGGAAAGCAGTGAATCACAAGAGGAAGCCAATTCTCTTTAAAGAAATCACTGTAATCTTGGACTCTTGGGATTATTCATTACGGTGAGAAAAGAGGAGGAAGAAGAGAGCATCGTGGAGGCAGAGCAACAATTTGGAGTACAGAAGCACATCATTAGAAACAACATTAAAAGCTAAAAGCAGTAAATTATTCAAATATTTAGAAAGAAGTAACATTATATGAAAAATGCTAGATAAAAGCATTATTAAAAACAGATTTATAAGCAACAAAATTTATTTATTTATTTGATTTGATTTATATCCCGCCCATCTGGTATATTCTACCACAAATGCATATAATCCAGTTTTAAACCAATAAGGTTCAAACTCACTGGGACTTGCTTTAAAGTAAAGAGATGGATGATAACAGCACAAGACTGAAACCCTAAATCTACCAGGAATTAAGCGAGTTAGTCAGCTCACTTTCAAGTAAACATGCCTAAAACTGGATATATACTAACAGCACATGACCATGTAAAACTCATTGGTAAGTAGCTCCCAGTTTTAGACTATGAAGAATCTAAATAAAATTAATAAAGGAACTGGAAACCACGGTGAAAAAAAACTGGAAAAATTTCTAAATCATGTCCAACCACCACAAACAGCAAAAAAGAGGCATAATCAAAACACTGGTAGGCTGTGCAAATCGGAACTGCGAAGCTCAATTTTCCAGCACTGAACTCAAATCATCTGAACTGGGCCCTACGGGCAAATGGCTATTCCAAGAATGAAATCAAAAGAGCCATCAAACCAAGAAAACAATACCAAACTGAAGAGGAAAAACAGCCACCCACAAATAAAGTATTTCTGCCATACATCAAAGGGGTCACAGAACGCATGGGGAAACTTTTGAAAAAACACAACCTACGAACAGTATTCAGGCCCACCACAATTTCCCTATGCTTGCCCTGACTTCCTTTTTAATTAGAAGAGGACTTGCTTCAAAATCTGAAGGGATCGGAACCCTAAAACACCTCAGGCACACCCAAAGTCTGGTTTCATTAAATCCTGCGTCCTCAGAGGATCAAGGGGGCTTCTTGAAAAATAACCACATTTTCAAAAATGTGGAGGGCCACACTTGGCTTCCTGAAGGCTATACACACAGCATGGCACATACTTCAAGAACTGCTGATTTACTGTAATATTAATAATTCTTTGTGGGGTGTCAAGTTGTTTCTAACTTGTGGTGCCCCTTTGGTTTTAAACATAGAGAGTACTCAGAAGCAGTCTACTATTCCTTTTTTCTGGGGCCATCTAAGGTTATACAGACTCTTCCCCTGGATGCCCTGTGGAGAATTGCATTCCCAACCTCTGATTCTGCAGCCAGATATGGAACTGGGCAGTTTGCCTAAAGTTATACAGACTGACTCTTCTCCTAGATGCCCTGTGGAGAATTGCACTCCCAACCTCTGATTCTGCAGCCAGATACCTCAGTCACGAAGCTATGAGGAAAAATTCTCCTTGCTTTCTCACCAGGACATGTAAGGGTTGCTTGGTCTTAGTGCCAGCCACAGCAGCCTCAGACTATCAAAAGGAGGAGTTTCTGTTTGGCCAGAAAAACAGACATAGGCCAAAAGAGCCCAAGGCCAAAATGAAATGCAAAACAATGATCTCAAACATGTGCAAAAGTTCTCACAATATATATAACATGAGACATCCGACAATTCAACCACAAACCTAACTAGGGAATGCACATCAATTCCAGAAAATAGTCTTATCTCAAATATTCTACATAATTCATTCTAATTCCTTGCGAAACAAACTTTTCTGTTGGAACCCAAGTGTATTGTTATTAAGCTGTTTATGAAAATAAATATGTACTCCATCATTCCGTACATGACTGAATACATTACACATCTTACAATGTTATACACATTATGTATAACATGCCTGAGAGAAAAGCATTTTGTTTGTAACTGGGTCTTGTGTCATGTCACTATGTGTGTTGAGAAAACCCATGCCTCGTTCAGTTTATACTCTTCAAGGCTAAGAAAGCAAAGAGGCAGCTGTTTCCTCTCCTTATCTAGTTCTCTGCACATTACGTAAGAATGTGCCGTCCAACAAATCCCATGAACTTGCTAGATGGCTGGAGGGAAAGATAAGCTCATTCTGAATTTTTCAGGGTATTCAGCTCTTTGTGAGAGAGGTCCTCTTGAGAATACCACTGTCAAAGAAGATTAATATATTGGTGGTTAGTGAACTCAAAAAAAAAATCTGTCAGAAAGAAAAGAATTGGCCATAAAGAGATGTCAACATATTTTTTTTCAGAAATGAATACAGTGGCAATATTTAATCTAAATTTCTAGATGGCAGCAAAAGGCCCATTAAAAAGCAGCTTGTATACACAGGTTGTTCTAACCTGATGAAATAAAGATACTGCATTTAGCGGTAACAAAGATAGTACAAAGCAAGAATAAGATAAAAATATCATTTATTAAGAAGTGGCAGCTAGAATGTTTGTACTATGGGGGCTCTATACTGATGTACATTTGATAAGATTAACGTTATTAGACTTTTGTGGTAGACAAGGACACATGGATAAGAGCTGAAAAGCTGTAGGCGGAAATTATGAATTGCTAAAGGCAAATAGATACGTCCAAAAAGAAATCCACAACCTTTATGCTTTGTACCTTCAGTCATTGGATGAAGAAACTAAACTAAGCTGAATTAGTTCAGTACAAATGTAAGCTTGATTTGGACATCAGTTTGGAGAAAGGAAGGCAGAAATAATGACAATCAACTAGAAGATTTTTTTTTTCCTGGCTTGCATAGCTATCCTACTTAAGGAGAAGACAGGGCAGGTAGAAATGTTATACCTGTTGACATCACTCTTTGTGGAAAACTGCTTGAAGGGTACGCAGAAGAAGCAGCCTCTTGTATTGTTTCTAAAATACAGTGGGGTCTCTACTTAAGAACGTCCCTACTTAAGAACAATCCAACTTAAGAACAGCTCCATTTGCTAAATTTTGCTTCTACTTGAGAACAGAAATCCAAGATAAGAACAGGAAAAAAAACCTTTCCTGCTCTTTTTAACCTTAGGTCATCTTAGGTTAAAAAAAATTCTCCCCCTAGTGGTAGAGTACGTATTAACCAGCTTTGCATTAGTTCCGATGGGAACTAATGCTTCAATGTATGAATGCATCTCTACATAACAAAAAAACAGCCAGAACGGATTAATTGGTTTTCAGTCCATTCCTATGGGAAATTTTGCTTCAACTTAAGAACGTTTCAATTTAAGAACACCATTCCAAAACGGATTAAGTTGAGGTTCCACTGTAGTTTCTATGGACGGAAAAGAGCAGATATGGATTAAATGGTTTTCAATGCATTCCTATGGGAAATGCAGATTCAACATAAGAACTTTTCAACTTGAGAACCACCTTCCAATACGGATTAAGTTCTTAAGTAGAGACCCCACTGTATAGCAGAAACCCCCCTCAGTTATAAATAGTTCCCACTCTCACTGCTATCAAGAATGGTATGAAGAGACAATTTCAAAATGGACTTCAACCTGTACTGGTTCTCGTTGCTTATCGAAAAGCCTTACTTTTTTAAAAAAATGTCTAGGTGATACTGTTTGACCACCTTCTACAGTGGAAAGGCAGGACATCACAAAACAATTTTTTTAAAATGAATGTTTCTTGCAGTAAATTTGGAGGACAGAAACAGGATTAGAGTCTGTGCTATTCCTGTCCAGGACAGTCCTTCATCCTTCACCACCACCTCTGCTGGCCAGATCCAGCAGGAGCAATACCTGTCACTGACACAACAGCTTTGAGAAGGATTAAAAAGTGAAAGAGCATCATTATACGATCCTGAATGCACCAATCTTCTCTGATTTCAAAAGTAAACAGGATCAGGCCAGGTCAGTATGTGGACAGGAACCACCAAGAAATACTACTCCAGGTAAGGCTAGAAAAGAATGCTGCCTGAAATTTTAAAGAGTCACTGCCAACTAGAGTTAATAAAACTAGGGTAAACAAACCAATGGCTCGACTCATTGTTAGGCAAGTTCCTATGTCTATCTCACCTTGATATTCGAGCCACTGAACAGAAACCAGGACAAATGCATCACTATCTCCCCACAGGTTCAGCCAACTTAATAGGTCTTGGGAGGAAGGCAACAATTTGAAGCAGCTTTAATGACCCTCTCCAACATTTCAACTAAACTCTCAATTTTTGAAACAAAAGTACAGTGGTGCCTCGCATAGCGAGGTTAATCCGTTCCGGATTAACCTTCGCTATAGCGAAACATTGCTGAACATCATTTAATGCATTCCAAAAGGCTCCTTTACTCACCGTTCAGCGAGGTTTCCTATGGCCGGCAGCCATTTTCGCTCCCTCGTTAAGCGAGGGGAGGGCGCGAAAACGTTGCACGCAGCCATTACGGAGGTTCCGGTGGCCATTTTGTCCGCCGAACAGTTGATCGTCAGGGCTTCGTTTTGCGAAGATCGGTAAGCGAAACGCTTACCGATCTTCGTAAAGCGATTTTCGCCCTATCTAAATGACATTGAGCGATCGCATTAGCGATCCAAAAAAAGGATCGCTATGCGATTTCGTCGTTATATGGTGCACTCATTAAGCGAGGCACCACTGTATAAATGAACCTACAGATTAAAATAAAAATTCACAGGCATTAAAGGAATCTTCAACAAGTTGCTCTTTCCTCCGCACTATGACCAATTGTACACAAATTAAGTCCACAGCCCACCAGATTTCGAAGACTTACCAGTCTCAGTTTCTCCATATCGCCAGCAGACTCTCCAGAGGGCAACAGACATTCCTTGGGCCCCATCTGAACCAGCAGAGCTTCCAGATTGGAAAACTGATCATTATCTGGAAATTCACACACTTCCAGCGTCCTCATCAAAGAATCCACAAACCCAACACCAACCAGCTTTTGACCATCTGCTGAGAGCACCTTAATGCCCATGACACCGACAGAAGACGTCATATCATGATTACCAAAGAGAATATCTTCAAACTGAGCGAGGTTCCCTGGAGAGCCCTATTTGAGAAGAGAGAAAGGAAAAACGTCCCATTATGAGACTTGGTTCTCAGATTTGTAGGAATGTAAATACATAGTAAGTCGTTCATCAAAATGGAGCCTGTAACCAAGAAATCAGAAGAAGACTGAAATTTGGAAGAGCAACCATGAAGAAATTAGAAAAGGTCCTTAAGTGTAACAATGGAGACCAAAGTCAACATCCTACCAACTATGGACAGTACGGCCCTGTATCAGCAGAACTGATAACCAGTTTGTTATCCGCAGTTGCCACTGCTGCAACAGAGCTCACAGTGTACACACACACTTAACTCCCTACCCTCACCCTCTTTAATTGATTTGCTACTATCAGGCATCCACAGAGGGCTTGAAACCTTTTCTCCATAAATACTGTATGTACGTATGTACGTACCCTATTTCCCTGAAAATAAGACCTAATGTATGTACGTATGTACGTACCCCATTTCCCCAAAAATAAGACCTAACCTGAAAATAAGCCCTAGTGTAATTTTTCAGGACATTCGTAATATAAGCACTACATAAAAAATAAGCCCATTAAGTGAAACCCCCCCCTCCACCATTGTTCAGCAACCAGAAGATGATGGCATGACTGTATTTGAATAAATGTAGATTGTTGTACCTGAAAAAAATAAAACATCCCTTGAAAATAAGCCCTACTGTGTTTTTTGGAGCAAAAATTAATATAAGACCCTGTCTCATTTTCAGGGAAACACTGTCTGTCTGTCTGTCTGCATGTATTTTTATCCTGCCTTTCTCTTTAAAAAGAACCCAGCACAAGTTATAATAAAAAGACATTATGTAGGAGCTAAAAACATGTTTCTCTTTAGAAAGAACCCAACGCAAGTTACACTAAAAAGACATTATGTAGGAGCTAAAAACAGTAGATACAAATATTTAAAAGAATTTAGGAAGCATACATTAAAAGCAGTAATAAAACCAATACTAAAATAAATTCAAAACAGAGAAACAGAGACCACCATTCATTCAAAAACTCTTCTCAGACCACCCATTATTAAAGGAAAGCCTGCCTGAACAGCAAGGTCTTTTTCCCCTGCTCGCAGAAGGACCGCCAGGATGGGGCCAGCCTAGCTTCGCATATTCCCAATTAATTTTAATCATGGTACTGGAGAACAGTTGCACAGCCACCACAAAATGCCAGATAGACAAATCAAATCTAAGGTCTCATCAGAGGCTCAAAGGACTAAACTGAAACCACTGTACTCTGGACACATTGGAAACCTCGTCTTGTTGGGAAAGCCAAGAGTGTTTGGAGAAGCTGACAGTAGCAGCAAAAGAGAAAGACCTAAAAGGAGACAGATTGACTCAATAAAGAAACTGACAGCCTTTTGTCTGCCTGTTTAGGGTAGGTCCTTTCGGAAGTCATAAAGGAGACGGATTGACTCAATAAAGAAACTGACAGCCCTTTGTCTGCAAGGCTGTTTAGGGTAGGTCCTTTCGGAAGTCATGAATTCATAGGGTCCCATATGTAAGAAAGGAGTGGATGGCACGTAACAATAAAACTGTAAAAAGACCAAACTGGGTTTTCTTCACCTAAACCATATTAGACCTTTTCAAATTACAGTATTGTCTGAAGGATTGACTCAATAAAGAAACTGACAGCCCTTTGTCTGCAAGGCTGTTTAGGGTAGGTCCTTTCGGAAGTCATGAATTCATAGGGTCCCATATGTAAGAAAGGAGTGGATGGCACGTAACAATAAAACTGTAAAAAGACCAAACTGGGTTTTCTTCACCTAAACCATATTAGACCTTTTCAAATTACAGTATTGTCTGAATGCAACCAGATGCCATTCACTAATGGGTATTTCTAATAAAACATACTATCATTGCAAAAACTCACACAAAAAAACTCTAATCAACCGGAACCACAGAAAATTGCTGGACAGCTAAGTGGTTTAGGTCTCTGGCTGTAGAGCCAGAGGTGGGGAGTTTGATTCCCCCAATGGGCCTCCTTGACACAGGAAGGGCTGGATTCAATGATCCTTCCAGCTCTGCAGCTATAAAATATTTGAAATATAAGAAAGCTATTTCTACAAAGTAATTTTTAATGGTAGTTTATTGAGAGGCACCCTGTAGAAAGCCCAATGGGCAGAGAGATGACCAGTCTTCTAACCCCTTCATGATCCCATGGAGCTTAACCACTTTGAAAAGGATAATGGCATTTGTAGTCTGTGAAAAAGGTGACAGCCAACTCAGCCTGTCTGCTGTTGTTGTTTAGTTGGTAAGTCATGTCCGACTCTTTGTGACCCCATGGACCAGAGCACGCCAGGCCCTCCTGTCTTCCACTGCCTCCCAGAGATGGGTCAAATTCATGTTGATCGTTTCGATGACACTGTCCAACCATCTTCTCCTCTTGCCTTCACACTTTCCCAACATCAGGGTCTTTTCCAGGGAGTCTTCTCTTCTCATGACATGGCCAAAGTATTGGAGCCTCAGCTTCAGGATCTGTCCTTCCAGCACCACAATTCAAAGACATCAATTTTTCAGTGGCCAGCCTTCTTTGTGGTCCAGCTCTCACTTCCACACATCGCTACTAGAAAAAACATACCTTTGAGTATGCTGACCTTTGTCGGCAAGGTGATGTCTTTGCTTTTTAAGATGCTGTCAAGGTTTGTCATCGCTTTCCTCCCAAGAAATGGAGGGATACCAAAAAACAAAAAAAAAAAAAAAAA